GTTAGCATCCCAGATTTTTTATTTAACATGTAACAAAAATTTTCTGAAATCGAAATTGCTGGTTGTTATATGATAAAATATTAGCACACATATGCTGTATATTATTTAATTGTGCTCGCAAATAATTATAAATATAAATTTTTTTTCTTAGAAAAAGATGTTTACAAACAGATAAAAATTGCAATTGTTTTTTTTTTCTGAAATTTTATGATCTTGATAATCGATACAATTATTTCTTATAAATTAAGAATGATTGCTTGATTATGAAAAAATATTTTCATGACATATCATTCTATTGTCTTTTTACCTCTTTAGATTTACACTTTGCAAGCAAAGGACGTGAAATATTTCGTAGCTAAACAATTTTGATTTCAACACGAATTTTCGCACAGTAACAATATTTCTATTGCGCCTCACTGCTCTCTTGTATCAGCTTCTTTTCCTTCTGTATCGAATCATTTTTCATCTGAAATTCAGGTAATATTTGTCACACGATTTCAGATTTCGAGCATTTTTTTATATGTGTTTCGTGCATTTATCGCGGAAGAGCGGTCGGAAAGTGTCGACACGTGTCGTGCGAACAACGGGCTGGCCCATAGAAGTGACCGTACCGAAGATTTTCTCCACGGGGAGAGAAAGTCGTGGTGATGGATTAGGCTGAGATTCGTTCCGGCCGTTTCGATAAATCACGATTTGCGAGGCGGATAGCGAAGCGAGGATCTCTACCGCGACCTGCGTTTCCCCCCTCCCTCCCCCCCGACACCCCCTTGCGAGCGGCATTCGTGCAGCGCTCGCGCACTTTGTACATTGTAAAGATGTTGAAGATGTAAAGTACGTGCAATATATTTTTCTCGGCATTACAGATGTATATTATATGCGCAAGCGTCATACCGATTATTCGTCTTTTATGTAAATCTTAGCCTGGAAGATTCGTAAATTAATTAAAATAAAATAACGTGAGATTACACAACGACGCCGGATTAATTGTCTCCCGATTCCAAACTTGTTAGTCTAGGTGAATTTATCTAATAATATATAATCACGCATTCTGTTTTATATATCGAATGTTTAACAGATTACTTGACTTATTAGATTGAAAAAGATGACTATTAAAAATTGCGATTATTTTATATTTCCAAAGAAGCTGTTATCAAAGTGTGCTTTTCTCGTCAAAATTTTTTTTTCTTTTACGTGGTTATATCACGATTATAAGACTTGAGGAAGGACTTGAGCAAAATACAAAAAAAACTAGTCTTAAATCAAGACTACATATTTTCATATATAAACAAGAATATATAATATAATTATAATCTTCTTAGGAAAATTTTAATATTGATGCAAGTATAAATATTTTCTTATAAGCAAGAATATTACAATCTTCATATAAAAGATTTTTAATCTTGAGTTAAACAAAAGTAATACTTGCTCAATACAAATTCAATTAAGATTCAAATTTGTAAGAAGATTATAATAAACAATATATTGATATATACTAAGTATGTGTTAATAAACAAATAGCCAATTCCTCGGCAAGCAGTATCTTGATTGTCAAGTTTCTACATGTGAAATGAATTCCAATAATTTTTTATTATTACTAACCACGTGCACTATTTTTAACAGATTTACAACGTAGCGGTTTTATAGCAATTCGATAGTCAAATATCTTGATTAAAATCGCTTTTATTATTCTCCCACAGGGAATATATTGCGAAAAATATCATCTCAAATTATAATATTCTTGTTTATATTTGAAAATATATTTTATATAATATTTTTCTTGATTTAAGACTAATCTTTTTTTTTTTTGTAAAGAAATCACTTTTGGATAATCAAAAAAAGATACAATCTAGCGTAGTCAAAAATAACGGAACTGATGCAGCGTTCGATTTATTTCACCCACATATAAAATGACTTATAAAATAATTATTTATTTTCAGCGATTTTTCCCCTGATTTCCTTAGACCGTAGATTCCGTAGACCCGTGACAAAACTGCAACTATGTTGTCATGACAAAAGAATAATATATAATTAATTAGAATTAATTAGAAGCCGGTCACCCGGCGGGATGAAGGTATCGCCGTCGGCCCCTTTCTCCCCGGCCGTCAAATCTTCAAGCGAACCGTTACTCCCGCAATAAATTCGCGAGGGTCGACTTTTTCCCCGAGTCGGCCGCCGCCACCGCCGGCGGCGTCGTCGTCTCCTCGGTGACGGTCGTCCGCGGGATATGGGGTCAGCCGTTTCTTCTGCGCGCAAGCTGACGCCACCGCCACCGTCGTAACAGCAGTAACCCCTCGTCGCATAACGCGCGAGACGGAAGAGCCGTCATCTTGGATCCCCCAAAAGCCACGGCGATATTGTACGCGCAGCCGGTGCCCCGTCGACAGCTGGACCCCTCGTCTCTCCGGCTTCTCGCTTTCGCCCTTCTCTCCCCCCCCCCCTCTCTCTCTCTC